AATGAGAGCCATTCGATTTTATTTATAGAAGTTTTAAATTCACATATCCTGTGACTCAAAAGTTCCATTAAAAAATTTGTTTTTATTGAGTTATTTTTGGGAGAGAGGGAGGGGCAGAGAGAGACAGGGAGAGAGAGAATCCCAAGCAGGCTCCGGGCTGTCAGTGCAGAGCCCAATGAGGGGCTCGAACTCACGAACTGTGAGCAGAAACCAAGCGTCGGACACTCAACCGACTGAGCCACCTAGGAGCCAGAAGTTCCGTTTTAAATAATTGATCCTATATGTATATAATTTAAATATACCTTCATGCTATTATATGTGTGTATATATATATCCATAGACACTCATATAGAGATATTTATTGCAGCGTTACTCGTACCAGCAAAATATAGGAAAGAAATCAAATGTCTATCGTTGGTACAAGTAGCACATTCCTAAAATGAAACACAATGCAGATGGTTAGGAAATGAGATAGATATAAATATACTGAGTATGAAAAGATCTTCATGGTACGTACTAACAGAAAAAAGCCAAGTGCAGAACGACCTGTGGGTAGTCTGTGTAAACATACATATTCATATATGTATATGTGCACATACATAAGTCTACACGTACGTTTGTATTTGTGTATGGCCTGTATTGAAGGCCACCCCCAAACTGTTAAGGGTGGTTCCCTCTGGTGAGGGGAACAGGAGACTGGGGGTTTAGGGTATGAGGTAGACAGACTTTCACTCTGGGTACCTTTTTACTGCTTCAACTTCGGTCCTATGCATGTGTTATTTATTTATATATTTACTTTTTTAATGTCACTTATTGACAAATCAGGTTCCCTAGCACACCCGGTGCTCATCCCGACAAGCGCCCTCCTCCTCCATGCCCATCACCCACTTTCCCCTCTCCCCCACGCCCCCTTAACCCTCAGTTTGTTCTCCGGATCCAAGCATCTCTTAGGGTTTGCCTCCCTCCCTCTCTGTGACTTTCCCCCCCCCTTCCCCTCCCCCGAGGTCTTCTGTCAAGCATGTGTTATTTAGACACACACATTCACCCAGTTGAGGCTGTGGGGAAGCAGGCACTCGGGCCCTGCTGGTGGAACACAAAATGCTGCCCCGTGGGGGGCAGCTTGGTAGCCTCCGTGAAATCGTAAAAGCATTTACCCTCTCTGGGAGCGCATTCTACCTGTGCACGAACACAATGACATATGGAAATGGCTATTGCTGGTTATTGGAGGATTGTGAAGAAACAAGTGCCTATCACTGCGGGGCTGGTTAAATATTAACAGTGTCTCCACACAATGGACTCCTATGAGCTCTTGAGGAATGCGGGCGCTCTCTATTAACTGATACAGGAAGCTCTCCGGGAACGATATTAAGTGAAAAATGCAAGGGGCAGAACAGCCTGGAATATGCTGCCTATAAAATCTGGTCTCAGGGAGAGCTCTGTGCTCGTGAAAAGGAATGACGGTCTCGAATGACACAATTTAGGTCATGTGAGACTGCCCAGCAGAAGGATATTTTAGAGAAGGTCACTTTTTCATGATAAAGGACCCCTCCCCGGGGCCAACATTCACTGCTTCCTCCCGTCGGCCCAGCCTGGGTGTTAACGTTTATTCTAACATTTATTGAAAGACCCTTTAGTGCTTGTCCCCTAAGAGGTCGCGGTCAGGTAATACGCATTCCCATGACAGGAGTATTTTTTGAGGATCCTTACCGAGTGACTCCTTAGAAGCTTGTCCCATTGCACAAATCCATCTCGGTTGGAGGCAGAAGTGTGGTAGGTGCACGGAAGGGTAACGCTGTCTCCCCGGGCAGCCCGGAGAACATTCCGGGGGGTTTCCACAATGACGGCATGGGCAGTCACCCAGACTGGAAAGAAAGTGGGAAGCGGGAAGAAGTAAATGATACGGCATAGCCACTCGTTGCCCATAGGGCTTCTGAGGGAATACCCAGGGACATCCTCCCCCTGCACTCGCAGCCGGACAAGACCACACTGTGATCTTGGCCGTGGCGCACCAGCTGTTCTCCTCCAAGACTAAGGCGAAGACAAACGTGTGACTTGGTCCACCTTATACCCTTCCCGCAGCACCACAAAGTTAAATGCATTGTGCGGTAGTGTGGCAGCTAAAAGCCCAGCTTTGAGCCTCAGCCCCACCTCTTACCAGCTGCGTGAACTTTTCTCATCCATCAAGTAGAAACACGGATACTTCCTAGAGCTTCTGGGAGAACTTGATGGGATAAGACGCGTAAACAGATATATTTTTTTTTTAGTCCCCGTCACATAGACGGCTCTTGATAAATAGTCCTCACCATCTTTTTCGTTGTGATGATGATGTAGTCATTCATTGAGCACATTTTTACGCAGCGCTTAAAGGTGGTAAGGAGTTTTATAAATAAGATTAGATCAAGGTAAAGAGATAGAAGGTATTCCCCGGGGTTTGTCGGGAAAAGGTGTCCCTGGTGAGTTTATTCTACATAAGTTTATCAGGACAAGGTGAGGAAACCAGTGCGGCCACGCGAGTATGTCCCATCATGTGTGCTCATCTTACCACATGGTGGTGACTCTCCTCCGTGTCCCCTCCTCTCGGATCTGGGTGAAGCTGTGACTACAGTGTGAGTTTCACCATATGGCTCCTCAAGCTAACCTGTAAGAGGCCATAAGCTTTGCCTGGCCCTCTTGAGATGCTCACTCTGAGGACCTAAATCAACATTCCGCGAGGAAGTGAAGCGGCCACATGGAAAGAGCACGTGCAGGTATTTGGGACACGCCCCCAACGGAGGTCCCCGGGGCAGCCACCCTCACTTCCCAGCATGTAACTGAGCAAGCCCAGCCGTTGAGGGAAGCAGAACCGAACGGACCCTGCAGAACCCGCCCATAGTGAGGATTCCTGAGCAAAATACATGTTGGCATTGTTTTAAGACACTAAGTCTTGGGTGGTTTGGTTTGTAGCAATGGGTGGTTGGAGCAGAAAGCCACGTGGATACGTGTCATGAGAATTTTCTAGGCAGGAGTAAGTGTGGTCCACGCGAGGAACAGCAAGGAAGACACAAGGGTGGGAGGGGAGTGAGGAGGAGAGATGAGACAGAGAAGGGTCTTGTAGCACATATTTGGGGCTTTAGATTTTACTCTGGAGGCGTGGGAAGCCCTTGGGAGGGATTTAAGCAGAGGTAATATATGTGACATACGTTTTTTAAATTTAATTTTAAGCTGACATCCAAATTAGTTAGCATCTAGTCCAACAGTGATTTCAGGAGTAGATCCCTGAGGGCCCCTGACCCATTTAGCCCATCCCCCCTCCCACAACCCCTCCAGCAACCCTCAGTTTGTTCTCCATATTTTTGAGTCTCTTCTGTTTTGTCCCCCTCCCTGTGTTTATATGATTTTTGTTTCCCTTCCCTTATGTTCATCTGTTTTATCTCTTCAAGTCCTCATGTGAGTGAAGTCATAGGATTTTTGTCTTTCTCTGACTGCCTAATTTCACTTAGCATAATCCCCTCCAGTTCCATCCATATAGTTGCAAATGGCAAGATTTCATTCTTTTTGATTGCTGAGTAATACTCCATTATATATATATATATCTCACATTACATATATATCACATTATATATATCACATTA